TGTTTTTGTTGTTGTTTTTATGGTTCCTTCCTTCTGCAGTCTCAGCATTGCTACTGGTCAAAGCTTGGGTCTCCAGCATAATACCTGAGAATGTCAATGCATCTTGCCATTTGCAAAGTGCCTGGTCCCTCTTGGCAATTTATATCTTTCTAAATTATTTTAATTTTAGAAACAAAGAAACTGTCACACTACAAAGAAAATGCCAACCCCGAGCATCATCTTTATTTGCAGGAATCTTAACATCATATGCCAGCTGCATTTTTCCCGTTTCTATTTTTTTTTTAGTTTAGCAAAGAAAACACACACAGGAACAACAGTGATAACATAAACCCAAAATATACCTACACATATGTAAGAGTGTTGCAATGATGAGGCAGTCGAGGTGTTTGACCATGATCAAATGAACCATGATGATTTTATTGGAGTCTAGTCTTGTATTTATACACATTTCTAGTAATCCTCTAACATTGGTTAACTTTGGTTGTTGATCAGCCTCTGTTACTGTCTAGCATAGTAATTAACACAAATAATTATCTCTAGTCAAAGTCTAACACATGTTTACTTCCTCTCTCTAATCCTTCTTTGCATTAGTGATTTTGTTTGTCTGAGTTGTAATTACTTGATAAACATTCTTAATCTGAGGTTTGCCATCCAAGATAAGAGCGTTCCTGCAATTACAACTCTACATAAGAGTGGTTTTTTTAAAAAAATAAACGGAAACTTTAAAAGTTATATATAAGTAGTCCTCAATTTACAACTATTTATTTGTGACAGTTTGAAGTTACAGTGACTTACAACCAGTCCTTCCACTTATGACCGTCACAGCATTCCCACAAATTAAAATGTCGGTGCTAAGCAATCAGCATGTACTTACGACAATTGTAAGATTTAGGGATCATGTGACCTTCGCAACTGGCTTCTCACAAGTAAATGGAGGAAGCTGGATTCACTTAACATTCATGTGATTAACCACTGGGAGGATTCACTTAAAAGAGTTATGGCAAAAAAGTTCCTAGAATTGGGCAGGATTCATTTAATCTTATTTAGCAATGGAAGTATCTGTTCCAATCATGGTCGAAAGTTGAGGATTACCTGTATACTTTTAAACTGAAGAATACTTAAATATTTAAGAAGCTCTAAAATCCATACTTTATAAATTAGATAATTATCTCAACTGGCTGCCTTAACACTAGTATTGCACAGCGGACTTTTACCAAGAAATTATCCAGTGTTATCATTGAAGTTACAGATCTGTAAACAACACGTCAACTGTAGCCACAGCTGTATTGTTTGGTATCACAAAACCATTTTTCCCTACAAATTGTAAGATACTTTCCTAAATAAATAATCCCAAAATACACAGCTTATTATATATGCTACATCATCTCTTCTTCTTCTTCAAAACATTACATCTGTTAGCTTAAACATATAATAGCACTTAAAAGTTTGTGAACTCTAATCCTTTTGAATAGTCAGTATTTCTGCATAAATATGACCTAAAATACGATGGGTTTTCCACAAAAGTCCCAAAAGAGAAACCAATTAAATGAGGCAAAAACATTACACTTGTTTGTTTACTGAGAAATATGATCCAAAGGTACATATTTGTGTGTGGAAAAAGTATGTGAAGTTTTTGTTTTCACCAACAGCAATAACAGTTATCAGTCCTGCACGTCAGCTTTGAGAAATTGTAGGCATATTATATCCCTCCCTACAGAACAGCTACAGCCCAGGGAAGATGGTAAAAATCCTCACATCAACTTCAGGTTCTTCCATAACATTTTTATAGAATTATAGTCATTAACTTTGACATTTGAAAACATTAACTTGGTTCTGCTTTAACCATTATTTGATTATATGGATTGTGAGTTTTGGATTATTATATTGCTGCATGACCCACGTTCTCCAGTTTAGTTCATGGACAGACCAATATTAGTCTCTACACCTCAGGCCCAGTTTAGTTTGGCCGGATCATGTGCTTCCTACAAAGGAATTTGCCCAAATATTGCCTGACACATTCAAAAATGCATGTCAAGTTTTGGGGGTTCCTTATAAGTTTGTACATATTTGGAAAAATATACTTAACTTGTTCTATTAAACACATGTTTAGAATTCTTTCAAAAGAGCTCTGGACTTCTGTTTAAAAATATATAATGCTCACTTCACACCATCACTATTCTTGTGTGATCAGAAAGTTGACTTAACCCTGTAAAGGGATCCAGATAGAGGCAACTGCATTCCAGATTCTTATCTTGGTAAGTGCATTATAGGTAGTCCTCGACTTACAACCAAAATTGAGCCCAACATTTATGTTGCTAAGCAAGACAGTTAAGTGAATTCTGCCCCATTTTACAACCTTTTTTGCCACAGTTGTTGAGTGAATCCCTGCAGTTGTTAAGTTTGTAACATGGTTGTTAAGTGAATTTAGCTTTCCCATTGACTTTGCTTGTAAGAAGGTTGCAAAAAGTGATCACACGATCCTGGGACACCACAACTGCCATAAATATGAGCCAACTGCAAAGCATCCGAATTTTGATCACGTGATTATGCAGCAGTCGTGTAAAAAACTGTCACTTTTTTCAGTGCTGCTGTAACTCTGAACGGTCACTAAACAAATGGTTGTAAGTCAAAGACTACCTGTAATGAGGAATTTCACAAGGTTATACTTTTGTTTTTAATACTTGGAAAGGTATGCTGCCCTTTCGTCAATAGACTATGTCTCATGGCTCACTCATCATTGATTGGCCTGCTCCATCCTGCACCTCTCTTGCTAACTGGATTGACAAATAACAGCGGTGGTCTGGGGTGAAGCAAGGATGAGATATTTTGTGGGAGAGGAAATTAATTCTTCAGCATTCATCAATCACTTCCTCTTATCCAACATTAAATCTGTAAGAACAGCACCACTTGCTGTCTATTTGGCCATCAGTTCAATTTATGCTTATGCACTTTTCTGCAAGTTTTTCCCCTTTTTGAGAGCCAATTTGGTGTAGTGGTTAAGGTTAGAAACTGAGAGATCAAGAGTAAAGTTTTGCTTTAGCACAAAGCCAGCTGGGTGACCTTCTCAGTTTTTCTCAGCCCCACATAAATGATCCAAAGGTACACATCCAAAGGCAAACCACTTTTGGGGATGAAAAAAAAAACTTGCTACAAAAACTGCAGAGATTTTTGTCCAGGCAGTCTCCAAGAATCAGAAGGGAGTGAAGGTTAGGAAAAAAAATATCCCATCCTGCCAGCTGGCTGTATCCTCAGTCAATGAAAAATGGACCCTTATTACTTTTGTAAGCCTATTTACACATGTGGCTTCCATTCCTTTTTGAGCAGACCTTTGCTCAACCTGGCAACTAAAAAAGATGTTGAGACTAGAGAAGAGAAGAGAAGAGAAGAGAAGAGCAACCAAGATGATTAGAGGCTAAAATATATAAAGAACTGTTGCTGGAATTGGGTACGTCTAATTTAATGAGGAGTAGGGATGACATGATAGCAGTGTTCTCAGGGATTGCACAACGAAGAGGGAGTCCCGCTATCCTCCAAAGCACTTGAAGGCAAGACAAGAAGCAAAGGAGGGGAACTAATCAAGGAGAGAAGCAACCTAGAACTAAGGGGAAATTTCCTGACAAGTTAGAACAAGTTGCCTCCAGAAGTTGTAAATGCTCCAACACTGGAAGTTTTTAAGAAGAGGTTGGACAACCATTTGTCTGAAATGGTATTGAGTTTCCTGACTAAGCAGGGGTTGGACTAGAAGACCTCCAAGGTCCCTTCCAACTCTTACTCTATTCTACTTCCAGATATGCTGGAGTTCAATCCTATGATTCCCAGCATGGCCAATGATTGCGGATGATGAGCTCTGTAGTCAAACAGCTTACAGGAAGGCAGTTAATACATGGAAACTCTGAGCTTCTCCCCCAACATTTGGAATGAAAATGAAAGACGACCGCTATTAATTGCCCTTTTCTCTATGGGCTGCCCAGCCTTTCACTTCTGCGGTAATTCCTTCATCTACACACGCTGAGCAATTAAAGTAAGAAAACAGGAGCGCCATCAATGAACCCCACGCCAACACTCACCGCCCATGGAACCTTCAGACACTTCCACGCTTTCACGCTTTGTTTCTACGCCTCCAGCCCTCCGATTCTCTGACAGCGATAAGTCTCCCTACGGGCTGCAGCCTACCGCCAATCCAATTGCTCTTCCGCAATAGGAATGCGTAAAGCGTAAAGGAAGGCGGGCTCTTGGGGGGGGGAGGCGGATCGAAAGATCATTGGAAGAGCTCATCCAATCAAAAGTGGTCGAGGTGGCGCGGAGGAGAAGTGGAGGCGGGGGGGGGGGAAGCACGAACGATCCAGACAGCCGAGGACCCACGTGACAGACGCCAGGGCGGGAGGAATACAGGCGTTCTCGTTCTGCGCGTGCGCTGCATCTGAGCTCTCGCGGCTGTATGGTTGTCTGGTTGTATGAAGAGGAAAAAAAATGCGGGGGGACCAGCTTATTTTTTCATTCGCTTTGTGCCCGGTTGTTATTAACCATTTTAACAAAACCTGTGGAACGATGTAGGCCATATTGGCTACTGTATTAACGCTGCCTTGTTAACTTTAAATAAATAGAACCTAAGCTGGGCAAAACACGATTAAAGAATCCTTAACGAATGAAGGACGGACCTACGTGTCCTAGAATAATGTTGCATTAAGGATCCAATCTGGGTCGGTGACTGGTGCTGGAACACGAGTCCGAAAGCTCGGAAGACTAAACTTCTGGTCCCGGAGACCCACCTAGATTGGATCCTAAACGATCCTTAACTGAGAGGTTTTCCTTGCACGGGGATTTGAACCAATTAAAAAGAATAAGCATTCCCTGCGCTTCGTTTCGGGCAAATCCGCTGAATGACATCTTAAACAACGCCGAGAGTTTAAAAGCAAAATAAATTTCTACCTTAAAAGAATTATAAGCATTGATTTTTTTAAAAAAAAAATGAGAAAACAAAAGAGGCTGCGCTGCAGACCGCCACGTGCACGCTGCCTGGCATGATGAAACCCGTGCCTGGTACGGTACAGAGCTCTAGGTTTGACTCGCCCTCAGCCCCGCCGCTTTGTAGCCGAGGTGGTTTTCTGAACTTTACGGTAAGGGTCTTCCCGGCCCCTCCCCGCTCGGCCGCTAAACTGCAGGGCCAATGTGGCGCTGCGCGTCGCCAACTCCCTCCTTCGCGCCCGACGCTTCGGGCGGCGAGAGAGCGAGCGAGCGGCTTTAAAATGTCCAAGCTGGATCCAATTTGCCAGCGCGGGAGCGAGAGGATGAGGGGGACGTCTCTTCGCCTGGGCTGAGGCAGCCTTGACGGACGGACGGACGGACGGACGATGAGGCTCTCTTGCAAAGTAGTGGCCCTGGCGCTCTGCCTGGCCCTCCTGCTGCTCCTCTACCTCTTGGTGGGCAACGCCGACGAGCCGCCTTTGCGAGCGGCGGTGGGGGAGAGCCCCTTGGGACCAGTGGCCGCCGGGAACGACGTCGCCCCGCCGCTCCAGACTCGCTTCCGACCCGTCCAGCCGGCGGAGCCAGAGAAGGAAAAGGCGGTTCGGGTTTCCAAGCGGGAGCCACGTCCCCATCGGAAAGCAGGCAAACGCAGCGCGGGTCGAGTCAGAGGGAAGGCAACGAGCCTTCGGTAAAGCCTTCCGAGTCGATCCCTTTCTTGGCGGGTTCAGCCTCGGTGGATCGCTTCTTGAAACAAAATGGGTGGGTGGGTGGGTAGGGGAGAGATGGGGCCTCATCCTTCTATCGGCTTCTGGGTGGGAATCGGGTTTCTCCGAGAGGTACGCCCTGTTAAACTCCGTGGGTTTTGCTTTGTAAGGGGGGGGGGTGGAGGAGGAAGTCCTTCAAACTTTATCCGATTGCGGTTGGAATTCTTATTTGAGGGATTTTACTCCAAATTTCAGATACTAAGTGCCTTGCGTATACTCTCAAACATATGGAAGATGCATGGCACAAGTATATTCACACGCATACTAAGCAGGCATGCAGTTTGGATTTAGTAAGGTAGAGTCCAACAACCATGTTTAATGTGTCATTTATTAATCAGGCTGTGATTGGGGGGAAATGTATATTATGCATAATTTGTAAAACTGATTTGTATGTAATGCTGTTAGAACTGCTTCCTATTTGATGCATTTAAATAGCCAGGTAAGTTTATAATAGCCTTTCTGGAAAAAAAAGTCAGAGAAGACATGGTCCATTAATACTTAGAGGAAAGGGCCACATCTTCTCTCTCTCTTTCTGGAACATACGTATATTGCTCATAAAATGTTTTGTGACGTGAACTCACAACTGTATACAGGATGTTAAGCAGCCTTCAGAAATCCACTCAATCCCAATATAGTCTCCACTTTTAAAGCCATTGACTAGTAGGTGGAAAAAATAATCAGTTGCCCATACTGATTTCCTGAAAATGTTTCTGTATCAGCAATTGAAATCCTCCATGCTTAATCCTTTGTTTCTGGAATGTTTATACTATTCCCTGCTTATTATTGTTTTACTCTTAATGGTTTTTCCTCTATAGAGATAACAAAGTTTTGAATTACTTGGAAAAGATGACATGGCTTGGCTTCCTGTCCTGTATATCTGTTCCAACTAAATGCTTATAGTAGTGTTCATAACTGTTAGTTGCTGAAAGCTATGTGGAAAAAGAAAGAGCCATGGCTTAGCACAATATATGAACTAATAGAGAGCCAGTTTGGTCTAATGATTAAGGCATCAGGCTAGAAACAAGACTGAGTTCTAGTCCTTGGGCATGAAAGCCAGTAGGCTGACTGTGGGTCAGTTACTCTCTGTTAGCCCAACTCACCTAACAGAGTTGTTTTTGTGGGGAAAGAAGAGGAAGGAGGCATACCAGGTATATTCGCTGCCTTCAATTATTTATAAAAAAATAATAAAGGCAGGATATAAATAAAATTAATAATGTCCCTATCCCAGGTCCTTGGGAAGGACTTGATGGGTGGATAAAAACGCCAAATCCAGTTTAAACAACTGGCTGACTGCAATAAACCATAATATTAAAAATCCACACTCAAGTTCTCAAATTTATTATCAGAAGCATGGAGGTTGAACTGGGAAAAGGAGAACAATAGAGATGATTAAGAGGCTTGGATGTTAAATCTTCAGGACAATTGAAAGGACAGAGTGTTTAGTATAAAGAAAAGAAGGCTAAAGAAGCATAATAGCAATCTTCCAAATTTGAAGAACTGTTGCAGGGAAGAGGGTGTAAATTTACTCTCTGTAGTGTTTTAGCATAAAGCAAAGACCAATTAGTGAGATGCAAACTCAAAATAAGGAGTAATGTATGAAACAGTAGGACAGGTGCATCCTGGAGTCACTGAAAGCTCCATCATAGGAATTATTTTAGAAAAAGGTTAGCTAGACTCCAGGATGATGTGAGGGATTCCTGCAGTGGGTGGATTCGACCACTATGGTCCCTCCCAACAATGATTTGGATCAGGATACTGTTGCCAAAGCAATTTTTAATTTTTTTTATTTTATTATATAATTTGTAGTTATTAAATTTGTATGCTACCGTCTCACTATCAAATGACTCTGGGCAACTTCCATAGATAACAAAATAAAACAATGATTAAAACATTAAAATATGGGGCATTAAAAGTTAAAACATTAATATTAAAGTAAATTAAAAGAAGCAATGCATATTTAGGTGGAAGTTTGACCTACTAATCTACTAGCCACCTCCAAAATGAGATTTCCTCATCAGGGTCCCAAGCCAGTTATCTGAGCCAGATTTTCTGGCTCTTTGGAAGGTGGGGGGGCAGATCTCACCTTGGGGGTCATGATATTCCAAAAGATGGGAGCCCCTGCAGGAAAGGCTCTTCTCTTGGACCCTGTCAACCACAATTCTTTGGCCAATGGGATCCAGAGCATGCTCCTTCTCCCAGAGCAAATGGGATGGGCCAATCCCATTGGGTTGAGATGATTCCTTAGGTGACCTGGACCATGCCATAAAGGGCTTTAAAGGTAATAACCAACACCTTCAATTAAACCTGGAAGCAAGATGGGTAAAGCAATTACTTATTTTCCCCATGGAAATAATGCTAAGCGATGTGTTGCCCTGCAACCAAAAATTTTTTCCAGCTTAAAAGTCCTGTTTCTTTTATCCAAATATGGAGTGAGCCTTTTAAGGTATAAACAATCAGTCTTAAAAAACAGCTCTTGATTTGTTCATTCTAAAGGATTCTACTGATGACCAAATGTCATGACAGGTGTGTGGCTTTACTATGATGTATGATAATACAAGGTTGAATAATTAACCAGTCATGCTTTTAATTTAGACATTAATTACAGCTTTTTATATAATGGCAATTAGAAAAACATACTGCAATTTGTGCTTGTTATGCTTAAGAAAAATAGGGTGAGAATAAAATTACTAGAAAATAATAGACTTTTAATTTGGTAAAGTACAAATAATTGCTGCATGCTTTCTCTGGGTTGAAATAAATTGCCCCCTCACCCCCTTTTTAAATCAGTGTGACCTCATTTATCAAACAAAACCAGTCTGCCTTTGATTCATGGTTGCACAGAAATGTTCTCAGTGAAAGAATGCCCCATTTTCTGAGATCTTATTCTTTATCCTATTAAATCTCCAGGTTCCTAACTAGCCTTGTATCTGATTGAGAAGAAAGAATGTTTACTGTGACCACTAGTGAATCATGGATGGAATTCAAATGGCTGCATTAAAGCAGGATCCTTGTCTGTTAGCTGCTGTGCCTCCTGAAGTAATTTTTCTTCAGAGCATATCTTAGAATATGATCAAGAACATTTCAGCCAGTAGCAAATGAATAAATTACTGTAGGGAGGAAAAAAAAAACTGTGATGGAAAGGACAAGTAAGGCTCCAACCTTACGCTATAGTTAATCTGACTCTTTGCTTCAGTTAAGGTGCTGAAGACTTACTTGGATAAGTTTTCTTGAAAGAGTTAGAAGTGGTTTCCCCTTCCCTTCTTCTCAGTCACTGAACTTTCCTACTGTGCTCCCATCCAGCGCTCATCAGTTTTGATCCTGCTTAATTTTTTTGAACTGAACCCAAATAAACTGAATGCTTTCATATGAACACAGGAAGAACTCTTACCTTGCATGAACAGAATGTTAACTATGCCTCTGTCATCAGAAAGGTATTGAAAAAATGGCAGTGATTTCAGCAGCATATTCGTGCTGGTCAAGCAGTTAGAGCAAAGACAAAGTATGAATAGGATAGAACAAATCACTACCTTTTGCATGCTGAATATAGCAGAACTGGGGTGTGATGTCTATCACAAAATTAGTGTGAGGGAAAGCCTCCCATTTAGCTAAATAGTAAGGAAAAGGCAACATAATTAAGAATCACTGCTTTCAATGGAGGGCATTCCATATGCTACAATGGAATGTAACCTATGATGAAAATCAGCACTGCATTTTAGCAATTCCAACTCAAAGGGTTTACAGTCTTTAAAGTTCAGAAGGGAACTTCAGAAGAAAGACACTTTGCTTATAATAGTCTGTTTCCTACATGCATGTGAGAATGCATAGCAATATTTCCCTTCATAGAACATTAACGGCTAGCTGAACCTGGAGCTTCGCTTCTCACCTCATTCAGGAATTTTGTACTATGAAGAAGCAATGTGTGATCTGCCACCATATTGTATCAAGTAGTTTGTGGAAGAAGGGGAAGTGTGGAGGAAGGGGAGTCCAAATAACCAAGATGGATTGGTGATAGGAGGCTGGAAGTTAGGGAAGGTGTTGCTTGTGCTGAATTCTTCTTGAAGGCTCTGCTGTCCTTGACTTTTCAGCCATATTTGGTTTCTGGCCCTGCATTGGAAATATAAGCTGATTTGTCAGACAAGCTTTTAATGCTGCTTGGGTGAGACAAATTCTCATATTCTCAATCTTTTTGATTCCTTGAGCCAGCAATATCAGATTGCTTCATCAGATGCAAAGAGAAGGTGCACCTTAGAGCTGAACTCACAGTGCTGGCAACACAGAATATCCAATCCAAGTTAGTAGGAGATAGTGAAGGGAAGATCTTACAGAGTTTTTGTGCTCCTATGCACCTGTCCCACTGCTTCATAGCTCTCATAGTCAAAAATTACTCCTTATTTTGAGCTTGCATCTCAGTAATTTGTCTTTGCTTTATGCTCAGATTTCCAATGCAGAATTCCGTACTCAAAAATGCAGTAACACTTGGCAGATTCTGTTTTCAGGTGGGAAAAGGTTTCTCCATGTGTGGGTGGAGTTTGAGCAAGAGGCATTCTTCTTTCCCACTGCATCACATCAAATCTGCAACATTGGCACTAACCCTCATTTCGTGGACACATGGTTATTTCATTGGATGCGTGGTGGGGCTTTCCTTGTATGTTTCTCTGCCTTTTACAACAGTGTAATCTTCCCCTGTTGTAGGCTGAGATGGGTGGTGCATGGTAGACATAGCACCCTTATATAGTTTTATGTCTATTCCTTGCATACTGGTAGTCCTCAACTTACAATTGGTCAAAATTATAGTATGTCCCCCCCAAAAGTATTTATGACTAGTTCTGGAGTTATCACGTACTGCCCCACAGTCAGATGACTGCATTTTGGGCACTTGGCAACCAGAGCGCATTTATGGCCATTTGTAGTGCCCCATGGTCAC